AACAATATCAAGTGAAATGACAACTTGTGAAAATGATTATTTCAAAATGTGTAACAGTTTATTTCAAGAGTGTGAAACACATTATTTCAAAAATGCGCAATTGAAATATATGTGATTTTTGTGAAACAAGCCAAAGAAAAATGAAATGTAGGTTCCGAAAGTGAAAGACATTATGAAATTGAAATGTCAACTTATGAAATCGTTTTTTCGAATGTGAAACGAATTATTTTAAAATAGTAATATATGTTCTTTAAAAGAGGTGCAATTGAAATAGATATGATTTTTCTGACACACGCTAGTGGAAAATGAAATGTAAGTTCAGAAAGTGAAAAACAACATGAAACAAAAATATCAACTTGTGAAAATGATTGAAATACTTTGATAATTTCAGTGGCATGAATTTTATATAATTTTAGTTTAAAAAATACTAGAGGTTTATAAAAGTGCTTTAGTTCATTACTTTTGCTATTAGAGTTTTATAAAAGTTTTTTAGTTAATTTTCTTTTTGTTACCATCTTTTCATCCACATAGCATGTGCAAGAAAGTAGAGAGAGTTACGGCAAAAATTAGATGCACTTCGTGTACAAAACAGACAATCTTTTTCGAAGTATCAGGGTTTCATACGGAAACTCGTCTGTTACAAAGGGATTCTATTTTTTTACTTATTTGAACTCCATAGTTTTTCTGTGTTCAAAATCCACCATTAAAAGCCACATCGTCAATTTTCAACCCTTTCTGACTTCATTTGCTATTTTTATGCATTTACTGATTATTTTGAGCTATAAGACCCTGAAATTGAAGGCAACATATAGCTCTAATGAATAGATAAGTGACCAAATTAATAGAAGTTCATCATCACATTAAAAACAAAGTACATACATAGTTCTAATTGAACAACATATAGCTCTCTAGAGCATCTAGTTAAACCATACATTGAAACTATGTAAAACCTTTCAATGCAACAACAAATGCGATCATAATCACAACCAAGGTAAAAATTGATCCAACGGCATAATGATACCAAGCCTTAGTATGAATGGCATATTTTCTAATCTTTCTAATCTTCAACCGCATTGCATCCATCTTGATCTTGTGATCATCGACGACATCCGCAACATGCAACTCCAATATCATCTTCTCCTCCTCAATTTTTTTATTTTTTTTCTTCAATTAATTTTTTTCTTCTTCAACTAAATTTAACCTCTCGACAATAGTGTCGGTTGGAATTTCCGGTTCAACTACCTCCTACATAAATAAAATCTATGTCACATTGGTCGGCATAATTGTCATAAACAATAAATGAACCAAATAGTTATAAAATGATAGTATATACCACATCTGAATCATAGACAGGACGAGGGCCGACGGGGACGGATACCAAAACCATCGCAATATATAATAACAAGCAATAATAAAAGTTAGAAAATTAGACAAGTATCTATCTAAAGTAAGAATTATTTTCTTTCGGAAAGAAGATAAAAACAAGAGGCTCACCACGGTGGTGCCCGCGGCGAGATCGGTGCGGGCGACAGACGGCGGTGAAGACGGAGACGGGACGTGACGGACCGCTAAACCTATGCAAATCTCGGGGAAAATGGAGCTTGGAGGTCGAGCTTCGAGAGGAGAAAGCTTAACTAGTGTGGCTCGGGCATTTCATCGAACACCTCATGTGCATAGGAGGTGAGCTAGAGCACCCCAAATGCCCTCAACTCGCCGGCCAGAAAAAACAGAGCACTGTGGAGTGCTCTGCTGCGGCGATGGGGTATATGTAGGCAACTCATTTGTCCCGGTTCGTGACTGGAACCAGGACTAAAGCCCACTCTTCTGTCCCGGTTCAAGCCAAGAATCGGGACCAATGGTTATGGGCCAGGAGCAAGGCCCATTGGTCCCGATTCGTGCCTAGAACCGGGACAAATGGGTCCATACGAACCGGGACCAATGCCCACGAGGCCCCGGCCGGCCCCCTGAGCTCACGAACCGGGACGAATGCCCCCATGGGTCCCAGTTCGTGACTGAACCGGGACTAATGGGCTTGCCATGCCCGAACCAGAGCCCTGTTTTCTACTAGTGGTGGGACGAGGAGCAGCGGCGGAGGAGGAAGGCGGGAGGCGGCGGAGACGGGGAACGCTAGAAGAGACAAGGCCGAGTGATAGGAGATTGGAGAGATCGAGGGAGAGGAAAAACTGGGTGGGAAAAAAACGAGCATGGAGGGTGGTGGTGGTGGTGGTGGTGGGAGGGGAACGAAAAAAAACCAGACGAAAAAACTAGAAAAAAGTGATGGGACGAAATAAATCGTGAATACTATTCGACCAACTCATCCATTAAAAATAGACAATTCCATCTTACTTGCCTCCACAGAGGGAGTATATTGCTTCGCAACTGCTAGTTCTCCTGCAGAATTCCATAAACAAAAGAACTGAGGGAGACGTTGAGATTATGTATTTCATCGACGAGGAGTTGTCTAATTTTAAGATTAGGGACATAGAACGTCCCGGCACTGCTGAGCAGAAGGGAAGTCCTAGAAGAGGTGCAGGATCACGAGTTCGTATACTTCTTTCTTTTGCCGCAAAAAAAAGAGTACACATCTCTACTCCTAATGGAGCAGTTGGTAGTCTCGCTTCCTGTTTTTTTTTTGTCCCACCACTTTCGTCCGGGTTTTTTCGTAGGTTAACCGTCGTAGATTTTTTTCGTCGCCTCCCCCACTTCATCGGTTTATTTTCATTTCACCCTCTCACACAACGAAAAAAACTGAACGGATCAGAACTTTCCATACTGACGCAAATTATTTAGTAATGTCTTTATGTAAAAGAATCAGTCACAATCAATCTCTAAAGATCAAATCTAAATTAATTAATCTTCATAACGTTCGTTTCCTTTCGAATCACGTCCATAACTTTCCTTCCTTGTTTGGGCAGAAAACTGTTTGGTAGCAGAGATTAGGAAGCTTCCTATGAGTGTAGTAATAGGAAGTATTCTTTTTCTTGATGATTCGTTTTCATGCATGATGATAGTAAATTAGGCCAACATTCACCACTATTTATCAACGTCATCAATCGTATCCATTCCTACCAGTTTTAAGGGAATCTGCTCGCTATGTCTTTTTAAGGGGATCCGCTTGCTAAGTCGTCGTCGCACGTTATTTTCACAAGCAATTCCCCTAAAAAAAGGCGTGGGTATTGGTAGTTGAACGCCCGCTAGGTTTTTCGCCTGTCCCATCCTCGTGCTGTGCCGCCGCCACCCGCCGAATTTCCAGCCGCCCGAGCCCGTTAACTTCGCCAGCCATCGGGTCGACTGCCCCCACCCCAAACCCCCATCCCCGAGCACTAGCTATCGCCGTGTTGCCGCCCCAAGCTCCACGCCACCTGGAACGAATCAAGCGCCGTCCTGACACCGCCGGCGCCGGCCCAGCACCTCCAGCCTTGCATGGACAGCTTCAATGTGCAGTCTCCCTTGCTGCCTCACCTTCTGCCAGCGCATGCAGCGGCGGGGTTGGACGCGTGCGTGCTTGCTAGCTTGCTCTCCGTGCGTACGTACTTGCTCTGCATGCGTCGCACCGGCCAATGCGCATGATGCGTGTGTGCCTGCTTTTCTGTATGTGTATGCCAGCGTGATGCGTGTGTGCGTTGCTGTGTGTGTATGATATAGATGGCCCGAGTGTGTGCATGCTGTGCTCTGCTCTCTGCTGATCTATGTGCTGGTGCTCCTGCTATATGTTCATGCCATACAAATGAAATTTCTGTTAATCTTCTGACATGTTGAGTTGGTTCTCTCTGTCTTCTGAGGGGGTGAATGCAAAGCAGTCTATTAAGCCAGGCACTATTGCTGAGCTAAATTGACAAAAAAAATATTGGTAGCCATAGTTGTAGTTTAAGTAGTAGCGAGTTGTCTGATATGTATAAAGAGCCCGTTGCAACTGAGCCCGTTGCTAAATTGACAAAAAAGTCGCCAGTGTCACTTGATATGTATGAGAATATTAAATGTATTATTAACATGATTAATATTGAACTCTCAAAGTTAATGTGGCCCCGTTGCAACGCACGGGCGTTCTTTTAGTGTATGTAACATGGGAGGTGAATTTTTTCCTTGGCAAAAGGAATTGTACACGATAGTCCGGCAATATAGTGAGCATATTTTTATGGCATATTAAAGGGTGTGTTTGCACAATTTCATGCCAAAGTACAACCATTTGTATCATGCGTAACAATGACGTACACATTTTACAAGACGTTGCATCTTAAAATATGATACTCAGTATATTAGAAAAACATAATTTTAAACATTCATCAAGCTCAAGTTTCTTATATTTATATAAATAAAATAAATTTAATGCGCTAAAAAAATTAAATCACTTCTCTTGTATATGCACACGCAACTAACATGGGCCCGTGGACTACAAATGCGCTAGAACACAAGGCCCGGACATTCGGTCCGCGAAAGATAATGTTCTGGTACTTGACGCCCATCGGCCCGGACACGACAAGGCAGAAGGAGGAGGAGAGGAGGGGAGGACGAAGGCACGAGGGGACCGGAGAGGGAAGGAAGAAGGAGGGGCGAGCCCGACGACAGCCACCGCGTTTGAGGGTGAGGGGGAGGAGGAGAGAGGAGAGGAGAAAACCACCATTCATTGATTAACGGTTCCTGGCAGAAAGGTTTGTACACTATAATCCGGCAACATAATGATCATGCTTTTGTGGCATATTAAAGCATGTGTTTGCCATGTGCAAAAATGACATACAAATTTTACATTACATTGCATCTTATAATACGATATATTAGAAAAACATAGTTTTAAACATTCATCAAGCTCAAGTTTCTTGTATTTATATAAATAAAATAAATTTAATGTGCTAAATAAAAAATCAAATCACTTGTATATGCACACGCAAGTGGCATGGGGCCCGTGGGCTACAATAATGTGCGAGAACACAAGGCCCAGACAGTCAGTTTGCCAAAGATTTTGGACGTTGTGGTATTTGACACTCCGGTGCGCGCGGTGCATTTCAGCTGTGGTACTTGACGGAGGTGTAGGTCTGGACCATGGTGGAGACGAAGGTGACGAGCGCGACGACCTCGATGACGACGGCCCACGGCAGCGTGAAGTAGTTCCGCTGCACGTCGGCCCACATGACGTACAGCGGGTGGCGGCTCCGCTCCCGCAGCTTCTCCAGCAGCACGCAGAGGTAGCTCGTCACCAGCAGCTCGCCGCCGGCCGCCGCCTCGCTCGCGACGCCCATCGTCCGGAAGAACCTCGCCACGGCCTCCTTGGTCTCGTTGCCCGCGCCGCCGTGCTGCTGCACCACCTCCGCCGCCGCCAGCACCCCCGCGTCCTCCGCCGACTGCACCATCTTCGCCATGAAGCACACGTACGCCGACACGTCCATCGGCGTCTTCATCGACGCCGACGCCGACTGCTCGAACGCCATCAGATTCAGCAGCAGCGGCGCCGTGCGGAACTCGACCCGGAGCTGGGGGAGGTGGAGCCGGTCCTCGTGCTGCGTCAGCTTCACCGCGAGCGGCACGGGCCCCAGCACCGACGCGATGCCGGCCACCGCCTTGCTCCCGCTGCCGGCGCGCGCCTTCTTGAACTGCACACCCATGCGCTTCAGGTCGCTCGCCGCCGGCACGTCTTCCTTCCCGTAGCTCGCGCTCCACTTCTTGTCCTCGGGGAGGATCGGGTACAGCAGCGGCACGAACAGCAGCAGCGGGATACGGCGCAGCAGCCGTGCCGCCTCCTGTGCCGTCTCTATCACCGCGCCGTCCTGGATGGTGCGGGGCGGCGGCTCCCACCGTGTCCGCGCCGCGGTGATCATCGCGTGGAGCAGGTGCAGGACGTGGGAGACCCCCTCGGCCGGCGGCAGCTCCTCGCTCATGTCGCGGCCCTTCTCGCCGGCGAGGTAGTACAGCACGAGCTTCACGAGCAGCACCGGCGCGGGGTACCCGGTGGCCTCGAACTCCGGCAGCTTGGTGCTGGCGATGAGATCAACGAGTACGAAGAAGGGCATCTGGTTCTCGGCGAGGACGAGGTCGACGGAGAGCTGCGCGGGGCCGAAGGGCGTGGCGTGCAGCGACGGCTCCTCGTGGCCCGTGGCGACGTTGATGAGGTGCTCGATGATGAAGCAGCCGTCGAGCACCATCATCTGGATGAACTCATCAGGGGGAATCTCGGCGACGTCCTCCCCGACGTACATCGCCCGGGCCTCCTGCTCGCGGGCGGCGACGACGCGGATGTACCCCTGGATGACGGCGAGGTGTTGCGCCGTGTCGGGGTGGCCGCGGGAGATGAGGCTGTTGAGGTACGCCACCTTGAGCCGCTCGGCGGGGCGGAGGCGCCGGTCCTCGCGGCTGTGGAGCGGGCCGATGGCGACGAACCCCGGCGTGTAGTCCTTGGCGTTGTTGTTGCGGAGGTGGAGGGGGACGCGGGACAGCCGGTGGCTGGTCGCCATGGCCCGGTGCTGCTCCTCCGCCGCCACGCCCTCCTGCTTCTGCATCAGGGTGCGCGCCAGATATTCGACGTGCACCGTGATGTCCCCGCCGCCGCCACCACCGCCACCGCCACGGGCGCCGGGCATGCGGAAAGGCCGCTCTCTAGGCATCGTGGACGATGGAACAGTGCACGTGCTATGCCACGACCGCCATGAACTGCATGCCCGGCTACATATATAGGGGCGGAATGGAATCTGAGCCCAGAGAATGCCAGCTCTGAGGGAGACGATGATGATGAGATGGACACGCAAGAACAAATCTGAGAACGACAGGATCCCTCAATGATGTACGCCTACACACAGGTAGTATATACGTAGCTTCCGTCAGCGATAAAGAGGACAGAACATGCATCAGTGCCAATTCTTTGCTTTGCTTGTACATGCAGACAATACGAGATTCAACTTCGTTATTCTAATTATAGTAGGTTGCATACATCCCAATTAAACCCATGCGCGCAGCATGTGGCGTGTATGTGCACATCATGCTATACCGTTCACCTAGGGAAGAAGCCGGCCCAGCCCGCAAAGCCCACATACAAATCCATCTTCAGTCGCAGGTGAAGCAGGGGCAGCACCATTGCTGGCTTGACAAACGTTCTTATATTGTGGGACAGAGGGAGTATATTCGTACTTAGCCCTAAAAAAAATCTATATTCATACCATTTTAAGTATTTATCATGTGCGTCCTTTCAGAAGCAGCAGATCAAACTTGGGGGCATAGACCATCCGGGCCACCGCTGCTGCCAAGCTCTCTGCGCCGTCTAGCGTTTGTGCATATGTCCAAGCATGGTTCCTTCAGGGCCTTGTCCGTGTCAGGAGGTGGGGGTGGCACTCCAAAGTTGAACTGCAACGAGCAACATTGTTATTGGAGACTGCTTCTTCAGTGGCATTTGGTTGGAAAAAGGGATAAAAATGAGCATAGCTGTGAGATTTTGCTTTAGCATAGCAAGATGTACATGATTCCTGATTCCTGAATTTCCTTTACCTGGCAGCTATAGTCTTCAAAATTTGGCTCCATATACAAATCGACGCCCATGTGATCCTTGAAGAAGGTCTGAAAGATAGACAACAGTTTTTAGCAAAAGACACTCAATAAGCTACTCTTTTAGGCAATGGAAGTACTTTTTCCCCCGGAGCTCCAATGCGTGATTGAAACATAACCGTTCAAGGAGCATTTCCGGCTGGATCTGGTAGAATTTTGGGTGAGCAAAAAGTTTTCATGATCTATTCACAATTATGAAACATCAACGATGCTCAAGCAGGTTTCTGTAGGCGGATTATACCATTCCAGTTTGCTAAATTGATATCACATCCCTTTGGAAGACATAAAGGTATTGTAGAAAAAAGACTGCGGAGAAGTACAGATCTGGAAATATAACGCATAGACACACCTGAGTTGGCAGTTTGCACGTGTTGATACAAATGCCAAGACATTTGCTCTCTTCCAAATATTTACACTTCTCGACAAACACCTGGCAATTTCCAGAATGACATATTAACAATTTGAAAGTCTTCATGAACGAAATGTAAATTGAAGGCTGAACAGATCAATACCCCACTAGATAACGACTTCCCATTGGGCAGTGTTACAGAATTCACTGAACATGTGCCCATTAGCCATTGGCACGAAAGCGCTGTTGCTCTAGCTTCACGAGTGAAATGGATCACAAGTAAGAAAAACAGGACCACTGATCACGCTAAGTTACGGTGAGTTAACTCTGCAATTGATCTCTACAGGGAACTGAGTCCTGAAAGCGTATCATAGTGCCTGAAATTCTGACTTGCAATGAACTCACCTACCATCATGGAAGCAAGTTGGCCATTAGCAATTGGTGCTAAAAGAGCTTTGAAAAGGACTAGCAACAGAGGTGGGAACAGTGCCTGAAGTACTCGGACCTGAAATTTGTAAGAGAAGAGATGCCGAGAAAGATAACTGAATTTAACTTTAAGTCATGTAACTATGGCAGAAGAGGTGGGACTGGAGATGAACAAGAGCAGTGGCATACAGCTGATTGCTCAGTCTCTGAAGCACTTTTCCCCTTGATCATGAGGCGATTCGCAACTTCGATCAGCCCGTCGTATCCAGGCTTTTGAGAATCCCACCCAACCTCCTACAGCTTTGTGCACAGGCAATGAGAGAAATTAACAGATGTAACAATCACACAGCTGTGCAAAGGGTGGAATTCAGTCTCTGGTTTATCAATTCATCGTGTTCTATCCAACCAGCAAAGATTGAAATATGTTGCATGTGAATCGAGAACTGAGGTTCAGATTAGCCAAATCTGCATCATGTCATAATTTCTGCAGTCAACCCCATGAATCGGGGAATCATTTCATATCGGCACTGAACAAAAATCACTTGCATGGCCGAGAGGAGATAGGTAACCAAGTAGAGAGAAGAAGGGGACGGGCGGATCGATGGGGCTCACCTCCACCATCTTGGCCCGGAAGAAGGCGAGGAGGAAGTCGTCGGCGAAGGAGGGACGGTACTCGCCGCCCTTGCCGGACGGCGGCGCTCCCACCTGAAATAGCACGAGGAATCAAGAAACCGTAGTGCCCCGGCCAGGGCGAGGAGGCTGGCTAGAATACCTAATACGTACCGGCGGCGACGAGCAGTACAGCCGGGAGGTAGGCCGGCGGCTGGGTCCCTGGACTGAGGGGGCTGAGAAGGACGGGGCGCGAGGGGTGCAGGATGGGAGTGCGGGGAGGAGGCGGCGGTGGAGACGGCTCGTGGTCGGAGCCGCCATGGGCGTGGACTGGGCAAGCGCCGGCGAGCGAGCTCCGGCTGTGAGCCTGTGACAGACCGTAGGAATCAACCAGCCAGGGCGTGGTGGATAGCCGGCGGAGGCTCACACGTCAGCGACCTCCACCAATTTCTTTTATTTTTTATTTTTTATTCTCCGGGCGGCAATGCGGCCCAGACTACCCACTCTCTGCCAGGCCCCTGTATCCCTTTTGGCCCAAGAAATCGATCCGCCAAAGCAACAGCACACAAACTCAAAAAATAAAAACTCAAGAGACGACAGAGACTACCACCAAATTGTCCAAAAGTTTCACAACAAAAAAAAGTCCAAAAGCACACAGACTTACTAATTCCTCCTAGTGGAAAAGAACAGAGCCTACAAAAATCTCTTAAGCAAAGAATATTTTACTAAAATCTGCAATCCATGTATACAAGACATAGAAGAGTTTACACAAAAGAGGGGCCAACTTAACTAGTTAGAATGCAAAGTTTCAGCTACCATATGTAGGGATCGTGTCTTGTCTTAATTTCCAGGGAGCTAGTCTTGCAGGAATTATCCTAGTTCACGTCCCCAGATGATTGAGAAAAGCCCGAGCAGAGACTCAACAACATTCTTGGTAGAGTATAACAAGGAAAACAAAAATGTCTACACAAAATCTTGGTCATGCATGTGAAGAGTAAATCAAAGGAGTATTAACAGTCACTCCAGCTGGTACCAAATAAAGCCTGAAACAATTCTCAGAATACCCCAAACGAGATTAAGATCATCAGTGAACTGTAACAAACACAAACTTGTCCAAAACATGCTCACAGAGCCCAGGCAGAGTGTTGCCAACCCCACTCATGCCCATGGTTTTCACTTTCAGTGAAATTTCACTGAAATTCACTGAATTTCATTAATTTCAGTAGACACTGAAATATTACGTTTCGGCGAAAATATTTCAACAAATTCAGTAGTGCACAGGAAATCAAATATTTTTCAAAATATTTTTTGAAAATTTCAAATATTTAATTAAATTCAAATGAATATTTTGGCCTTTTGGCTGAAATGCAAACTGAAATAACTGAATTTCATTGAATTTCAGTGATTTCAGTTGATGCTGAAATTTTGTTGAAACTGAAATTGAAAACCATGCTCATGCCAGACCAGCAAGATCTGAAGAGATAATAAAGATTCTTCTCAGTGTGGATCAATTTTACGAAACAAATGAAGTGAAGGAATATAAAGTTGAGTGTCAGGTTATTAAATCATGTTGTGTGCTGCTTCTCTGCCTTTGCTCTAACTCTGATCCCCAGTCTATGCTGCCTTACAAGTTGTAAAAGAGAAAGTAAAAGTCGCAGCGGTAGAGCATTTAGGCGCCAAAACCGGACAGAACTGCACACGTGCGTGAGAGCAAGAATTTCTCGTCAAGCAAATGCTTTAGTTCCTTCTCTGTCACAAATATGGTGTTGGTGCCTTGCGGACTTAAGCGAAAACTCGCACTGGTAAATTCTTGGCTATACCTTTCCCCACATTACGAGGAGCAGGAAAGTAGTTGAATCTTCAAAGAAGTGTGCTTTCAATAACAGGAAGATAACATACTTTTATCACCTGTATTCAACAATCTCTTTTTAATCGAACACGCCGGGGATCTGCGTATCATTACATTAAGAAGAAGAAATGGGACAAGAACCCATACAACACCCACTCACACATGCTACACACGCCACACTATTGTTCTTAGATTACATTCGCACATGTTTATCGTTAAAAAAACGACCAGACAGGACTACAACCAAACAACTAAGCTCCATGGGCCAGGGCAGTCAAGCAAGAGAGGCCCTGCGCCTGCAATCTCCCAAAGACGCCGCTCATCGCCGGCAGTGTATTCAACAATCTCCATCGGTGCTACTGACAGCATAGAGTATGAGACTCCGATATGAGCTCGAATGTCCACTAAATGAACATAGCATCAGCAATCTCAAAAATCCCTTCATTAGGGACCCGTTTGCCCTGGCATATATCACAAATTCCCCAAACTAAGTAAATCTACTCTTGCAGGCATAGCTGAGAATGACATCTGCTAAAAATGCATTCATATCAAGGAAAGTGACTGTTTTAGATATTATAAAATCGTGGGTGGTTGGAACAAACCATGCTAGAAAATCTAGAATTGGTGTTCATTGTGCTTCTTATGGAAAGAGCACATATCTATAGTGTCCCTGTCCAGAAGCCAGTATCCCTAAAAATGCAACCAGTTCTGCTAGACTATGTGCTCCACCTTTCCATGCCCAAAAAAGCTTAATAGATACACAGATATGAACTGAATGAAAAATGAAGGACCGATTTTCTACAAGCAAGGAAGTTAGAGTTATGGAGACAAACCTTGGAATCGAAAGGGTTTAGGCTTAGTAGAACTAAAACCGAGTACATGATGCTACTAGGTGTGAGGAGGAGGAGGTTAGCCTTGATAGTCAGGTGGTACCTCAGAAGGACACCTTTCGGTATTTAGGGTCAATGCTACAGGAGGATGGGGGTATTGATGAAGATGTGAACCATCGAATCAAAGCCGGATGGATGAAGTGGCGCCAAGCTTCTGGCATTCTCTGTGACAAGAGAGTGCCACAAAAGCTAAAAGGCAAGTTCTACAGGACGGCGGTTCGACCCACAATGTTGTATGGCGCTGAGTGTTGGCCGACTAAAAGGCGACATGTTCAACAATTAGGTGTGGTGGAGGTGCGTATGTTGAGATGGATGTGTGGCCACACGAGGAAGGATCGAGTCCGGAATGATGATATACGAGATAGAGTTGGGGTAGCACCAATTGAAGAGAAGCTTGTCCAACATCGTCTGAGATGGTTTGGGCATATTCAGCGCAGGCCTCCAGAAGCTTCAGTGCATAGTGGACGGCTAAAGCGTGCGGAGAATGTCAAGAGAGGGCGGGGTAGACCGAATTTGACATGGGAGGAGTCCGTTAAGAGAGACATGAAGGATTGGAGTATCACCAAAGAGCTAGCTATGGACAGGGGTGCGTGGAAGCTTGCTATCCATGTGCCAGAGCCATGAGTTGGTTGCGAGATCTTATGGGTTTCACCTCTAGCCTACCCCAACTTGTTTGGGACCAAAGGCTTAACTAATTTGCATTTATTATACCAGCAGGAGACCCAGATGGCAATGGAATAAATAAACTGTACCTTCCAAGGAGTTATACACATCCAATGAATCAACTACTCAACTGTGTCTGACTCCGAAAAATCGATACCTTTCAGGGAGTGATTTTATTTGCTCATGATATTTTCCTTCCGTTGAAAATAGATGCCACATCAACAAACTAGTTGAAGCTTCAAGTGAGATGCTCTTCCCATCAACTTTAGACAAATAATTTCCAGCCTTGACTATCTCACCTTTTTCTAACAACATTCTGATGATAGCATTTAATAGAACGGAGCTGGGAGCATAACCACTCGTCTCCATTGATGAAAACATATGATCAGCTTCTTCCATTGATCCTTCTTTTAAAAGATTTGTTATCATTATTCTGTAGGTAGAAGCATTAGGTACCAATCCATTGGCAGATATTGCAGCAAACAAAATGTTAGCTTCTTCTCTTCTTCGAACCTTGTACATTGCATCAATCATGGTATTGAATATTGTAATATCGAACTTCACGTTCATTGCACCTAATTTGTGGAACAGTATGATTGCTTCCTCAGTGCAATTATTCCTACAAAGTTCTCCAAGAATTATACCGTATGTTGAAATGCTCACTGTTGTTCCACTTTCAACCATCTGATGAGCAATCTCCGCAGCTTCCTTGCCTCTTCCATGGTTGCAAAGGGAGGCCACGAATGAGTTGCGAGTAGCATCATGTAGTATAAGACCCCGGCTTGTCGTTTCTCTGAATATTGTTACTGCCTCATTCCACCAGCCCAAAGAGGAATATCCCTAGATCATACACTTATATGCCACGTTGTTGGGTCGAACATCATTATCGACCATCTGCCGAAGGAACGACTCTGCCTTGTCCATTGCTCTGGCCTTGCACAGCGCATCAATTATCGAGGTATATGTCACCACATTAGGTTTAACTCCTTGATGCTCCATTTCATTGAACAGATCGCATGCCTTGCTTACTTCGCCTTCCTTACAGAAGCCATGGATGACCGTGCTATATGCCACCACGTTGGGGGCGCAGCCACCTCCTTCTTTCGACATCATCTGGGGCAGGTCAAGCGCTCGCTGGCTCCTGCCATCGTCACACAAGACCTTCAGAACGACGGAGTATGACAAGGCATCAGGCGCACAGCCGAGTTCAGGCATCCTATGGAGCAGCACGCTGACAGCCTTGTCTGTCCGTTTTGCGAGGCAAAAGCACCTGATGAGGGCGTATGCGTCGATGCCGTCTGTCCTCAGGCCCGTCCTGAGGAGGCGGCCGAAGAAGGCAAGCCCCAGGTCAGGGCGACGCGCGCGGCAGCAGCAGTCCATGAGGATGCTATAGGTGTGGGCTGTAAGAGGCGACGCATGTGGGCTGGCTTCTCGGCGCAGGCGGTTGAAGAGAGACACGGCGAGGGCGGGGCTGTCTTTGCAGGCGGTGGAGGCTGGAGCACGGGCAAGGGCCGCGAGGAAGCCGTTCAGGGCTTGACCAGGGACCGGGGTTGCCTGCTGCAGCAATTCGTCGAACAGGTGGTGCGCGTCTGCCGGGCCCAGTGTCCCGGTTCGAACGCGCTCCGTGGCCGCGTCGAGGGCGGCGCTGGGATCCTAGCAGCGTGAGGGCGGCGAGGTGGGGGTGGGGGAGAGGCGGCGGAGGAGGCGGGGCGTGGGCGTGGTGGAGTAGAGGCGAGGCATCACTGCCATGGACACCGCGTGTTGGTGCTTGGAGTGTGCTTGTGGAGTGGCTGAGAGATTTCTTTTTTTGGACTTGAGTTGCAGTGTTTCTTAGAGCATCTAGCAGAACTCCGCATCCCCTAAAACACGTTTGTAGTTTGCGAAAAAACGGTTTTGCAGGCCGACGCAAACGGTCGCAGAGGCAGACCCCGTAAAATGGACCCGTAAAAAAGATATTCACGGAATATGCTCTTTTACGGGTCGGCTTTGCGGGGTCTGGTCCGGCGCCGCTCCTCTCGGCCCAAAAAACCTAAATTTGCACCTTAATTTAATATTATTGGATACATATAAGACATCACGAAATCTTTGTTAAAATAGCAAGATCAAAAAAATAAGAACCACAAGTATGTATGTTAGAAGATTTCCAACTTCCATAAATCTTTGCTAGAATAACAAGACTAAAAAAAACAAGAACCACAAGTATGCATATTAGAAGATTTTCAACTTCCATAACTGCTCCCACTAGTTGGACCAATATCTTCTTCATGCATTCATTGTTGATCTGTGGATTCTTGATTTTGCATTCTTTTTTCTTCATCTTTTTTTTTTGAGGAACCGGCCGGAGCACTGCCTTTTCATATAAGAAGGAGAAGAAGGTTTATGTACAAGAGTGTTCCGGTTTTTGGAAGAGAAACTGGACAAAAACCCCTAGAAAGAAACCCACGATGGCAGTAGTCAGCCAATACCGGTTGCCACATGTGCCCGGCCAAAGGCCCGGGACCTTTGCTTGATGTCTTCGAAGGCAATAGCTGCAACCTCGAGGTGCGTGAGGCGAGTTCCATTGAAGATGCGTCGGTTTCGCTCCTTCCAAATGTTCCAGATGGTGTAAAGGAAGCGGCCGCTCCGCCTTCTTTTGACGTTCTTGGGCAGATTGGTGGTGAGCGAATCCCACCAGTCCGAAATCCCCATCGAAGGGGGCAACGTGGGCGTGGCCCCAGAGTCCTCTCCCGTCCAGACCTGGACGTGAGACCAAACTGCGGCGGCAAACGGGCAGTCCTTGCAGAGATGAGTGGCCGTCTCCGGAGCTCGAAGGCAAAGGGAACAACAAGGGTCGTGCGGCCAGCCACGAACGGCTAGCATGTCGGCCGTGAGGATCTTCCCGTGGAGCACAAGCCAGGCGAAGAACTTACATTTTGGCTCAGCATGTGCCTCCCAAATCTTGGTCGGGGAGAACCTGGGATAGGATCCAGAGAACTGGGCCGCGTAGGCTGAAGCAGCAGAGTATATGCCATTGGGGGTCCACCGCCAAGTGATGGAGTCCTCCTGGTCCGGGTTCAACGCCACCTGAGTGATAACTGAAGCGAGGGCAATGAACTCCTGCAGGTGGGTAGGCGATGAAAGACGGGCAACTGATCTGATCCAGTTCTCCTCTTGTAGCTCCTTCATCACAGATCTTCGCTTCCTGGTGGCAATTTTGTACAGCTCCGGGAAGGCCCGGGACAGAGGGCCCCGTCCTGTCCAGTCGTCGAGCCAGAATAAGGATTTTCTCCCATTGCCCAAGGAGATGATGGTAGAAGCCCTGAAGAGCGCCATATCCGTCTCATCGCAGGGCACCGCAGATCCCACCCATTGTCGGTCAGGATCAGTCCACATAAGCCAAGGCCAGCGAAGACGGAGCGCCCGACCAAATCTCTCGAGGTCTGTGATACCCAGGCCCCCCATGGGCTTAGGCCGGCAGACAGTCTTCCAGTTGACCAGAGAGTGTCCACCAGACGCGTTTTCTGAGTCTTCCCCACACCAGATGAAGTTACGAGTGATCTTACTGAGCTTCTGGATTGCCCAGGTGGGGAGCGATAGCGCAGTGAGGTGATGATTTGCGATGGCGCACAACACGGACTTTGCAAGGGAGACCCTGCCCGGACGCGCCAGATTCTTCCCCTTCCAGCCCGGCAACCTGCCCATAGCCTTGTCCAAAAGAGGTTGGAGGTCAACCCTTCTGAGTCGCCTGGTATGTAGTGGGAGACCCAGGTATCGGCCGGGGAACGAGGCCAGCTTGGCCGGGAAGGCCGAAAGGATGGCCGAGAGATCAATGTCTTGGCAGCGAATGGGAAACACCTCGGTCTTGCTGACATTTGTGATGAGGCCGGATGCATCCCCAAAACAGGCAAGGATCCGAGCGATGGCGTCGATCTCCTCTTTGACCGGGTTAGCGAAGATGCCAGCATCGTCCGCGTAGAGAGAAACCCTGCAGGAGGCCGGTCGCGCCATGATGGGCTTGAGGATCCCAGCCTAGGAAGCCGCCCGGAGCATAAGTTGCAGAGGATCGATGGCCAGAATGAAGAGCATCGGCGACACCGGGTCGTCCCTGGCGAAGGCCTTTTCCATGCGCGAATGGGGTTCCCGGCTCCCCATTTAACAGCACCCTGGAAGAAGATGAAGCGAGGATCATGCAGATCCAGTCCCGCCAGCGCTGTCCAAAACCCAATTGTTGTAGCACCTCCAGGAGGTAAGCCCAACCCACAGAGTCGAAAGCCTTGGAGATGTCGAGCTTGAGAAAAAGGCCTGGCGTTGAAGAACGGTGCAAATCTTTGATCAAGTTTTGCATGTGTAGGTAATTATCATGGATGCATCGCTTCTGCACAAAGGCACTCTGGCTCTTGGAAACCAGCGATGGAAGCAGAGGGGCTAGCCGGTTAGCCAACAACTTGGAGAAGATTTTCGATATGCTGTGTATCAAGCTGATAGGGCGATAGTCGCCAATCGATGATGCGCCGACTTTTTTCGGGAGCAGAATAATGTTGGCTGAATTTACCAGGCCAGTGCAGGTGCCTTGCAGGTTCTCGAGCTGCTTCACCGCAGCCACGACATCCGCGTTGATGATCTCCCAACATGATTTGAAGAAGGCACCGATGAAACCATCAGGGCCCGGGGCCCTGACCGAAGGTAAGGAGAATACCGCCTCCTTGATCTCCACCTCGTCGAATGGATCGTCTAGAGCCGATAGGTCGTCGCGATGCATCCCGATGTTCTCCCATACAATGGACTTGGTGCGCCGGGCAGGCGTGCCAAGATTAGCCTGGAAGTGGTCCAGAAGGGCCCGCTCCTTGTCCTGTCTGGTAATTGCCAGCCCCGAGGTGGTGGTGATCGTCTGAATGAAGTTCTTGCGCCTTCGTCCGTTCGCACGAGCATGGAAAAGCTTAGTGGTGGCATCCCCCAGGCGGATCCAGTTTAGCCTAGAGCGCTGTCTCAGCTTGATTTTTTGAATGGCTAGTAGCCCCAGGTACGACGCCTTCAGCTGTTTACGCAAATCCCTCTCAGAATCTGAGAGCGGTCTTCCCTCCTCAGCAACATCCAGGCGCCAGATGATCTCTTTGGCAACTGCGATCTGGGAGCCAAGCATCCCAACTTTTTCCTTTTGCCACTTGCGCAAGGCCTTCGCGGTCCGACAAAGCTTGATATGAATCTTGCGGATGGCATCACGGGCCTGGACAGGCTTGTTCCATGCCAAGGCGACGGTGTCCTTGAAGCCCGGTAGACGAAGCCAGAATTCCTCGAATTTAAAGGAAGACTTTCTCAAGATGTCGACGCACCCCTGAAGGTATAACGGAGCATGATCCGAGCAAGCTGTAGTGATAGCCTGAAGATGCGCATTGGGAAAGAGCATGTCCCAATCATCGGAGTGGAACACGTGGTCAATCTTGGTAAGGACCGGGTTGGCCTGCGCATTGGACCAGGTGAAACGGCGCCCGCCCAGGTGAAGCTCCTTTAGTTGCAAGAAATCAAGAGCCCCACGGAACTTGCCCACCAGGCGGCGATTGATGTTGGCGTTGCTCTTATCCGCCGCTTTAGTGATGAGGTTGAAGTCCCCCAAAAGGAGCCACTCGCTTCTTGCCACGGTCTTGAGTGTCCTAAGCTCCTCAATGAAGGCCAACTTGTCCTGCTCACCCTGCGGGCCATAGACGCCC